AACACTACATGTCTCGGCTATGCGCAGCTTCAATCCTACAAGCACTGGATCCATTCGTTGGACTTGCTGAAAGCGAGCCTCCCAAACTCTAAACCCGAAACCCGAAACGCTCAACCCGAACCTTAGTCCCCTAAACCCCTAAACCCCTAAACCTAAAACACTAACCCTACACCTAAACCCCTCTGTGCTTTGGTTACTATTTGAGGGAGCCTGCAGAGCGTTTTCGTTAGGGCTTCTAGATACTCGGGTTTTAAGGCTGACGAGTTATGAAGTCTAGAGCTCAGGGACATAAACAACTTTGGGGTCTTATTACGGAAACAAACTTCCCAAATCATGTGAACGCTCCCCCTACACCCCAAAACCTAAACCCGAAACCCTCAACTCCTCAAACCTTTGTTGCCCGCCATCTGATCCCCGCATTCCACACCCTGAAGACGAAGAACTAGAGCGCTGAGGCCTCAACCCTTACGCACCTGAAACAAACCCTGAAACCCCCTAAAAACCCTAAAAAACCCTAAAAAGCTAAAAACCCAAAAAACCAAACAGCTAAAAACCCTAAGCTTTTGACCTCTTCAAACCTAAACATTGCCTAAAAAATAACCTAAAAACCCTAAACAACCTAAACCATCAAACACCACTAACCCTTCGACCCTTAACGTGGCGAGGGGGTGGAGGCCCCCGGCAGGCGAGAGCGGAACATACGCCGAATCGCTGCAGCACCTAAGGTCGAGCGGGACGCTACTTTGACCCCTCAGGTGTGTACCCTTTGGTTTGGGGTTTCAGGGATTAGGGACTAGGGTTTGGCCGGTTAGGGGTTGGGGTTTAGGGTTTGGGTTTAGGGTTTAAATCCTGTAAACAGCAGAAATTCTTGCGCTCGCAAGCGCGAGCCTTACCCGAATCTGTGTAGCTGGGACTGATGGTTACGGTTTTGGGTCCTAAAGGACCTAAACCCTAAACCCAAACCCTAAAACCCCAAACCCTAAACCCTGAACCCATTAAGGGGATTCTTCAACATTTTGTGTTTAGGAATTGGCTCCTCCGGACGTTGCGGTTAGCCGGTCGCGTTTAGGGCCTTGGGCTGAGGAGTTGGAGCTTAGGCTGTGGGTTTAAAGGTTTAGGGCTGTGGAACTGTAGCTGCTAAAAGGTTTTGGAGTTTGGGGTCCGGACCAAAAGGCTTCGGGTTTGGTTTAGGACCCTAAACCCTAAACCCTAAACCTTAAACCCTAAACCCTGAACCCTAAACCTTAAACCCTAAACCCTAAACCCTGTCTGTGTCCCTGGCCGCAGCCTTGGGTATGCGCTTCTTCGTCCGATGCTGGCGGTGCGCAGCGAGGTTTGGTGGCTTTGCAGTTTCCGGCTTGGGGGTTTAGAGCCCTAAACCCTAGACCCTAAACCCTAAACCCTAAACCCTAAACCCTAAACCCTAAACCCTAAACCCTGACCCTAAACCTAGGGTTCACAGTTTAGGGCTGAATGCTTGGGCTTCGGGTTTGGGGATGTAGGCTTGAAGGTTGATGTTTTATGGTCAGAGCAAGCCAAAAGCCCTTTGCGCGACCCGCCCGGTACCCTGCGTGTTTTTTCGCTCCATAAACCCTAATCCTAAACCCTAGAAACCTAAACCACCAACCCTAAACCCTAAACCCAAAACCCTAAACCCTAAACCCTAAACCCTAAACCCTAAACCCTAAACCCTAAACCCTAAACCCTAAACCCTAACCCAAATCCTGAACCCTAGAAACCTAAACCCTAAACCCTCAAAACCTAAACCCGAAACCCTAAACCACACACCTTCAAGATGCCCCCAGAACTTTCCAAAGAGCTGTAAACAGAACGACAACGCCCCCATGATCCCTAAAAACGGGTTTAGGGTTCAGGGTTTAGGGTTTAGGGTTTAGGGTTAGGGGGTTTAGGGTTTATAGGGTTTAGATCCCTAAAAAAACGAAACTCTCAACACCACAGCCTACCACCACGTCCCTCCAGCTCTCGTGCTCATGTTGGTGTGGCTAGCAGAGTATGTCTCCACGCAGGAGCTTTCCATAGCACCCTAAACCCTAAACCCTAATCCCTAAACCCTAATCCTAAACCCTAAACCCTAAACCCTAAACCCTAAACCTTAAACCCTAAACCCTAAACCCTAAACCCTACACGTAGATCTGTCTCTCGAAGCGCAGGTCTACTCGCCACGGTTCCCAGCCAGAACCCTGCTGCGTGGGGAGAGTTTAGAGGATTGGAGCGGGTTTAGGGTTTAGGGTTTGGGGTTTAGGGTTTAGGGTTTAGGGCTTAGGGCTTAGGGCTTAGGGTGTTAGGCTAGTGGCATCCCCTCCCTTGGCCCCAAATTTCGCAAGAACCCGGGACAGGGCGCAGCGCCTGCTTGCTGAGGCTGTCGGGCGCCCACCTCGGGTTCAATTTGGGGCTTAGGGGTTAGGGTTTAAGGTTTAGGGTGCACGGTTTAGGGTTTAGGGTTTAGGGTTTAGGGTTTAGGGTTTAGGGCTTAGGGCTTAGGGTTTAGGGTTTAGGGTTTAGGCCCCTGCCCCCACAGACTACTTAGGGCTTAAGGTTGAGAGCCCTCGGGTGCAAGGGGGTCAGGGCACAACTCTTCCACCGGCCTGTCACCATCCCAATTGTAGCAGCTAACTTGACAGGCCTCCGTTTTCCTGGATTACAAACCCTAAGCCCTCAACCCAAAACCCAAAACCCTAAACCCTCAACCCTACAACCTCAACCCTAAACCCTAGCGCTCCAGAGCTCAAGAAAGTCCAGACTGTCCGAACTTGTCGACAAACCTCAAAACCCTAACACCTGGCGTCCCTCAAACCCAAAGTCCGCCAAAAATGCTCTGAAACCCCAAACCCTAAACCCCAAACCCCAAACCCTAAACCCTAAAACCCCAAACCCTAAAACCCCACACCAGGAATCCTGAGAAACATCACAACTAAACTCCCTAACGTCTCGAGCAAGCCCCCAAAGGGCGTGCTTATCATTCTTACACCGTACTTGGGCTTCTGACTCCTGTAGCTAGGAATCCTGAACCCTAAACCCTAAACCCTTCTGAGAGAGCGTCGAAGGGCAACGTGGAATCTCTAAGGCTCTAAGGCGAGGCACGACCACCGTTTCCGCAGCTCCCACTCTGCCTTAGCCACTTGCAGGCGACCCATCGAAGATTAGCGGTCTGGCAAATCTAGATCTACGTGTAGGGTTTAGGGGTAAGGGTTTAGGGTTTAGGGTTTAGGGTTTAGGGTTTAGGGCTTAGGGTTTAGGGTTTAGGGTTTAGGGCTTAGGGTTCAGGGATTAGGGTCATAGGTTTGAAGACCAGGGGCTTGGGGATCTCAGAACTTCGGATTCAGGGCCTGTGATGTGGGGATGTTTCATCTTGGGTCACTGAAGCTTTTACGGCCTTCCCGGCCCAACGTGCCCTTAACCCTAAATCCTAAACCCTAAACCCCGGGAAATGTCGTGCTAGAGAAGAGTATGGGTGGTGCTCTGGCACCCCACTGGCACCCTGAAGGCAGGACCCCCAAAAAAGGGAACGTACTTTAGAGAACTACCCCAATAGGCTTAGGGTTTAGGGTCTAGGGTCTAGGGTCTAGGGTTTAGGGTTTAGGGTTTAGGTTTAGGGTTTAGGTTTAGGGTTTAGGGTTTAGGGTTTAGGGTTTAGGGTTTAGGGTTTAGGGTTTAGGGTTTAGGGTTTAGGGTTTAGGGTTTAGGGTTTAGGGTTTAGGGTTTAGGGTTTAGGGTATAGATGCACAGAGAGAGAGAGAGAGCGAGAGAGAGAGAGAGAGTTTAGGGTTTCGGGGCAGAGGGCATGCGGGTGTGATGTGGGGATTCAATCTTGGGTCACTGAGGCTTTTTCGCCCTTCCCGGCCCAACGTACCCTAAACCCTAAACCCTGAGAAATGTCGTGCTAGAGAAGAGTATGGGTGGTGCTCTACATTGGGGACCCCTACATGCTCGGCAAACCTGGCTGCTGCCCGTGCGATCTCTTTGCAAAAGGTTGTGAAGAACCTGAAACCCCCGCCCCCTAAACATGGGCCGTCCAGGAACAAGGGCGCCTACCACAAGGACACTTCCAGGTCCCCTAAACCCTAAACCCTAAACCCTAAACCCTAAACCCTAAACCCTAAACCCTAAACCCTAAACCCCCTAAAGCGCCCTGAGCAGACCTGCCTGTCAAAGGCATCAAGAAACGAGAGGAGTCGGATTTTGTTAAACCAGCGGCTCGGGAATTTCGACTCGCCTGGTGATCTTCATGGTGCACTCTCTAAAATCAGGGTTCGTTTAGGGTTTAGGGTTTAGGGTTTCGGGTTTAGGGTTTAGGGTTTCGGGTTTGGGGTTTAGGGTCTTTTCTTACTTCTCCCATGACCAAGGAGAAAAACGGTTAAATTACTTCTCCCATGACCAAGGAGAAAAACGGTTAAACTTTATTTTTCCTACGACATAAGGAAACCCAAAGGTTTAAAAATCAACTATTGGCTAAGTATGTTTCAGGAGAACGATTCTAAGGCGGCCCCCTACTATTTAGGGCACCCAAGCAAGTGACCATAACACCATGATTGTTGGGGCACAGCTCAAAAAATGACCATTGTTTATGCCTTATTGGGTTTTAGTATTCGTGAAGATGTAAAACGATTTTCAACAGTGACCCAGAATCATTTAGAGAGCTCATCCGGTAAGTAAGCATGATGGTCAGCAGCACACCTCTTGGTGGGAACTGCCTGAAAACCTATCTGTCCTCGGTCCTGGGTTCAGGGTTTAGGGTTCAGGGTTCAGGGTTCAGGGTTTCGGGTTTGGGGTTTCGGGTGAGGAGTTTAGGGTTTAGGGTTTAGGGTTTAGGGTTTAGGGTTTAGGGTTTAGGGTTTAGGGTTTAGGGTTTAGGGTTTAGGGTTTAGGGGTTTAGGGTTTAGGGTTTAGGGTTTAGGGTTTAGGGTTTAGGGCTTAGGGCTTAGGGTTTAGGGGTTAGGGGTTAGGGGTTAGGGGTTAGGCTCCAGGGCCAGTGTATTTCAGGCTTAAAAAGAGGCCACCAGCGGCGGATTCGCAGCGCTGGAGGGTAGTCCTCATCTTTGCTACCGGGCCATTCTGGCAAGCCGTATTGCGAGCTTGTGGACATTTAGGGTTCAGTGTCTAAGGTTTGGGGTTTAGGGTTTAGGGTTTAGGGTTTAGGGTTTAGGTTTCGGGTTTAGGGTTCTTTGACTTAAGTCTTATCATTCATGACATAGGACTGAAGACTTGGAACTGTGGATCTAGACGTTTAGGGTTAGGGTTTGAGGCGTCGGAATCTCCGACAATCCACACTGGCTCAAACGAATTGACTGCGCAGGAAGTGGAAAATAATCTTCGGGGGGCCGGATGGCCCCCAAAAAGTAGGGTTTAGGGTTTAGGATTTAGGGCTTCGGGCTTAGGGCTTCGGGGTTAAATGTCGATGCTCCTGGCCGTGTACGCAGCAGCAGGCCTACGTGATCGCGCACCTTCGGCGGCAAAAGACAAGAGCCCGATGCTGGCAGTGGTGACCTTGCTCTGGGAAGACCTCCCTTCCCCATACCTGCGCCATTGTTGGGTACTTGTTTAAAAAATGATCATTTTGTTCCTTATTGGGTTTTAAGTATTCATAACAATGACCATGTTGTTTCCTTATTGGGTTTAAGTCTTCATAAAAATGCAAAAACCCTAAACCCTAAACCCTAAACCCTAAACCCTAAACCCTAAAAATGCTTTTCAGCACCCAGATACACCGCCCGGAAGAGACCTCGGCCTTTCTCTCCCGCCGCTGACGGAGCCCGCGGAGCTCGCGGCGTGGTGGGGACGGCCGGTGGGTCCTGTTGGGTTTAGGGTTTAGGGTTTAGGGTTTAGGGTTTAGGGTTTAGGGTTTAGGGTTTAGGGTTTAGGGTTTAGGGTTTAGGGTTTAGGGTTTAGGGTTTAGGCTTTAGGGTTTAGGGTTTAGGGTTTAGGGTTTAGGGTTTAGGGTTTAGGGTTTAGGGTAGGGGTGCTACCTTGGACCCTTAAGGTTGTACCTTTGGGTTTTGGGGTCCCTTTTAAAGGTTCCCTAAAAGAACATATAAGGGGCCAGATTGGGAGTATATTCAGAACCTTTAGGGGCACAACCTTCGGGGTGCGAGTCTTCATCCCTTGAGGGTCCGTCATGAGCTCGCCCAAGGAGCGCTTCAGCCGGCTTTCCATCTCGAGCATGGACATCTCCACCTTCGGGGAGAGGGCGCCCCACCCCCCCCCCCCCACCCCAAAAAAAACCCTGAAAAAATGGTCTGTGGCCATCTCTCAAGAAGATGATCCCCTTGTTGTGGGTAGAGTACCGAAAATAATAGGGGGCCGCCTTCCATTCAGGACCCCAGCTAAGCGACCCGAATTTCGCGAATCCCCCATATGAGTATTTCCCGAAAAAGGGATACGCCAAGTAGAAAAGAATTCCCTTCAAAGGACCCCCCAAATAGTGTACCTAAACCCTAAACCCTAAACCCTAAAGCCTAAACCCTAAACCCTAAAGCCTAAACCCTAAACCCTAAAGCCTAAAGCCTAAAGCCTAAAGCCTAAAGCCTAAAGCCTAAAGCCTAAAGCCTAAACCAGAACCAGGACGGAATCCTATGAAACGGGTGGGGATGCAAGGCAAGCCCTGATCCCGCGCCGAGGCCCCAAGAAAGTTCAGGGCATGAAGGCTCTTTTGCTGAACTTTCTTGGGGGGATTAGGGTTTAGGGTTTAGGGTTTAGGGTTCATGGTTTAGGGTTTAGGGTTTAGGGTCTAGGGTCTAGGGTCTAGGGTCTAGGGTTTAGGGTTTAGGGTTTAGGGTTTAGGGTTTAGGGTTTAGGGCTACGGCCTTCATCGTCACTGCCTCAAGGAGCTTGTCAAGTCCATCTAGGTCCTTGCCGGTGGTAGAGGTGCAGAGAAGTCAGGTTTAGGGTTTAGGGCCTTGCCGGTGGTAAAGGTGAAGAGAAGTAGGGTTTAGGGTTTGGGGTTTAGGGTTTAGAACCCTAAACCCTACATTCCCCATGCCGAGGGTGGGGAGATCAAGCTATGGCAGCGCCAGCTGCGTTGGCAACAAGGTGCTCCCCTGCACCTACTTGGAGGTTCATGGTACTTATTAACCAATTGTAACTGTACTTATAGGGTTTAGGGTTTAGGGTTTAGGGTTGAGGGTTGAGGGTTGAGGGTTGAGGGTTTGGGGTTTAGGGTTTAGGGTTTAGGGTTTAGGGTTTAGGGTTTAGGGTTTAGGGTTTAGGGTTTAGGGTTTAGGGTTTAGGGGTACTTATTTACCAATTCTAACTGTACTTATAACCCACTTATAAGCCCCTCAAGTGCCCAAATATGGTTCGATGTACAGTTATATGTACAGTTAGAATTGGTTAGTAAGTACCATGAACCTCCACCTAAACGTCACAGTGAACCTCCCAACTTCCACAGACGGAGGACACTCGTAGGGTAGCTTAGGCAGGACTTCGACCCTAGTTGTACATAGGTTAGTAAGTCCTACAAATCCTGCTGACCCAAAACAGACGTATTAGCACTATAGAAAGAAGAAGCCTTGAAACTGCAGGCGTGTTCCTGACAGGAAGATTTGGGATCACAAATTGGAGGTCACGATCTACTTGCTAGATCCTACAACCCAGCTCCTAAATTCTGATTCCTAGGCCTTTAGTTCAGTAATCTTTGTTCTGAATTCTTAGCTCTAAGACCCTGACTCTGTGTTCCTAAGGCCCTGCATCCTAAAATGTTCTTACTCACAATGTCAAGTCCTATTTCTTGAGTCACACATTGACATTCGAAATGAAAAATTGAGAATCCTCTTTCTGGGTGCTGCATCCCAGCTATCCCTAAAATCATAACGCCTGACCTGCAAAAAAATCCTGGTGCTTCCTATGTCCCGCTTAGGCGACGGGCTCTTTGCCCTGAAGTTCGTGCTCTTGTGAGTGATATGCAGTGGTTGCTATAAAGCCCCCTAAACCCTAAACCCTAAACCGTAAACCCTCAACCCTCAACCCGCAAAACACTGATAGAAATTGGGGTCGGGCGGGCAGCAAGCCGCCGCGCGTCCAGGACCGGCACACCAAAAGACCCAAAACTGCTACGGCCATCCGCCCTGTGTAGGGTGTGTTGGGTTTAGGGCTTGGGGTTTGGGGTTTAGGGTTGAGGGTTGAGGGTTGAGGGTTGAGGGTTTAGGGTTTAGGGTTTAGGGTTTAGGGTTTAGGGTTTAGGGTTTAGGGTTTCGGGTTTAGGGTTTAGGGTTTAGGGTTTAGGGTTTAGGGTTTAGGGTTTAGGGTTTAGGGTTTAGGGTTTAGGGAACTTTGGGTCCTTGTGGCTTCTTGTTCTTTCGGCCAGGGAGGTCGACTCGGAGCCGTCCAGCTCTAACACCTTGTGCTTGCTGCCTTCGCTGATTTTAGGATGTTTAGGGCTGGGGGGGTTTAGGGTTTAGGGTTTGGGGGTTTAGGGTTTAGGGTTTGGGGTTTGTGGTTTAGGGTCTAGGATTTAGGGCTACCCCCTAGGTTCCTCCCATCATTCAAGCGATTTGGGGATAACTAAGCTTAACGGAGGCTGCTTGGGGCTTAGGCTTAGGCGCGGATGTAGGGTTTGTCGGGCCATACCAAACCCTCAACCCTAAACCCTAAACCCTAAACCGTACACCCCCTAAACCCCAAGGCCTCAACCACTGAGTTGAGAGCGACTCCAGGTTTGCTTGGGGTTTAGGGTTTAGGGCTTAGGGTTTAGGGTTTAGGGTTTAGGGTTCAGGGTTCAGGGTTTAGGGTTCCTTCAGACTTAGCTGCAGGAGAATGAAGGGGGGGGAGTTAGGGTTTGGCTTCGGGTTTACGGCTTACGGCCCAGGGCATATGATAGGGATTTCTGTTTGGGATAGCCTTCTCGACATACCAGCTCCTTCAGCCTGAAACCCTCAACTCAAAACCCTTTTGACCCCAAAACCCCGGAAGCCCCAGACGCGAAACCCTAAACTTTAAACCCACCAAAAACGCCAAACCCTAAACCCTGAACCCTAAACCCTAAACCCTAAACCCTCAACCCTAAACCCTAAACCCTAAACCCTAAACCCTAACCCTAAACCCTGAACCCCTGTGGCCTGCAGCCAGGTTTGGCCGCCACTGGCTGGATGGCGCCGCTTCATCGGGAAACTCGTCGCCTGCTTGGGGTTTACTTAGGGTTTAGGGTTTAGGGTTTAGGGTTTAGGGTTTAGGGTTTAGGGTTTAGGATTTAGGGTTTAGGGTTTAGGGTTTAGGGTTTAGGGTTTAGGGTTTAGGGTTTAGGGTTTAGGGTTTAGGGTTTAGGGAATAGGGTTTAGGGAATAGGGTTTAGGGTTTAGGGTTTAGGGGTTCCTGCCTGGCACTGCCGGCGACTCGCCGCCTGCTGGTGGCTGAATGGTTTCAGGGCTGAAGTCTTCGCACGTGTTCTTGTTTTAGGATTTAGGATTTAGGGCTTAGGGCTTAGGGCTTAGGGCTTAGGGCTTAGGGCTTAGGGCTTAGGGCTTAGGGCTGAGGGCTTTAGGGCTTAGGGCTTAGGGCTGAGGGTTTAGGATTCGGGGATGTGGGACATGCAGGGGTTAAGGGTGGAGGGCTCACGTAACGTCGGCTTCTTGCACTTCCACCCTGCACCACCTTGTAAGCCCGCCTAAACCCTAAACCCTAAACCCTAAACCCCAAACCCTAAACCCTAAACCCTAACAAACCCTAAACCCTAACAAACCCTAAACCCTAACAAACCCTAAACCCCAAACCCCAAAGCGCCGGACCTTCCCCCGAAAGCGTGTAAACTCGACCTTCCAGACCCGCAAACCCATGTATGCTTGAGGAAATGCATTCAGTACCATCTTTCATGTTTTGCGAAGTTGTTTTTAGTGAGTCGGGAAATTGTGAGGTTTTGGAATAAAGTGTCATTCTAAACCTTCAACAGATAGGGCTTACAGGACTAGGGCTTAAGACTAAACGTTGCGGGTACTTATGGCATGCAGGACTAGGGCTTAGGCCCACACTTTGCAAGTATGAGGGAATTAGGTCTCACCCTAAACCCTAAACCCTAAACCCTAAACCCTAAACCCTAAACCCTAAACCCATCTTTAAACGAATAACTAGCATCTAGGAAAACTCTTCAATGCTTCGTGGAACTCTTGGGGTTTCCTGCAAGGGCCTTCTGGCAGGTCTACTGGGATGTGGAATTGGAATTAAGAAGCACAGCTACTGGGACAACTTTGTGTACAGACGGTGGAATTTGGTATGAAGCTTTTTTGGGGGATGCAAGGTTGGTTGTCCTTGTATGAACGTACATCGACGCATCTACGAAATGAAACCATATGTCCCAAGAGGATTGTAGTCTCATGGCGGGGCCACCTGTCCAGGCAGGTTTGTCTGCGGCTGCAGATGAAAGAAGGCCATCGCCTGCACACAGCATGAATTTTCTCCAGACCCTGCATCCTACACCCTAACAGCCCCAGACCTCACGTTCCTTCGCCCTTGCTGACCATGAAGGGTTTAGGGTTTAGGGTGTAGGGTTTAGGGTTTAGGTTTAGCGTTTAGGGTTGTATATCTGTTGCTACAAGGGAGGGCATCGCGGTGCTCAAGCTTCAGCACATCAAGCAAACCCGACACCCCAAAGCCGAAACTCGGGTGGGCGTAGGGTTTAGGGTTTAGGGTTTAGGGTTTAGGGTTTAGGGTCTAGGGTCTAGGGTTTCGGGTTTAGGGTTTAGGGTTTAGGGTTTAGGGTTTAGGGTTTAGGGTGGTTCATGTTCCAGTAGTTAGGATGGCCCTCAGTCCACTTCAAGACCACTACGTGTTTTTTTCTCTAGGTTGGGGCTTAGCCCCACAATTCTTCAATTCTGGTCCCTCGGGCTTTGCTGCGCAGCGTCTCATCGAACGCAGGAGGGGAAACATACGCGGCTGTTAGGGCTTCGGCCGGCCAGGGCTTAGGGTTGAGCTCCCTAAACCCTAAACCCTAAACCCTAAACCCTAAACCCTAACCCTAATCCCATTCCTGAAGCTCATACTGAGCACTCCCTGAGATCTAAGGCATCCAAGCAGTCTCCGAGGAGGCGACCTGTTGTCGGGTCAGTGGCGGAGGGCACGGGGCTTCCCTTGCGGCCGAACAGGGTGTGACCTTTGCTGGCAGTGGGGTTTGGGGTTTAGGGTTTAGGGTTTTGGGTTTTGGGTTTAGGATTTAGAGTTTAGGGTTTAGGGTTTGGGGTTTAGGGTTTGAGTTTTTGCTAGGATCCAGGGCTTGGAGCCACCTCCCTGCATGCCCCAGTGGCTGGGATGGAATGTCTCCCCCGAGCCGTGAGCGCTTGGAGCGCAAACCCTAAACCCTAAACCCTAAAGCCTAAACCTAAACCCTAAACCCTAAACCCTAAACCCTCAACGCTAAACCCTAAACCCTAAACCCTAAACCCTAAACCCTAAACCCTAAACCCTAAACCCTAAACCCTTGCCGGCTCTGCTTTGCCCTGTGCCACCCGGGCCTGGGTGGACTTCACTCTCTTTCGGGGGCTCGTGTGCCAAGGCTTTCCGGGCCGCCGTCGAAGAGGCATGTATGTGTGTGGGGTTTAGGGTTTAGGGTTTAGGGTTTAGGGGTTAGGGTTTAGGGTTCAGGGTTCAGGGTTCAGGGTTTAGAGTTTAGGTTTTAGGGTTTAGGGTTTAGGGTATGTAAGTAGGTATGTATGTATGTAGGTATGTAGCCAAAACATCACCGCCTGAAGTTCAGGGCAGATCTCGAAGGCGGCCGCCCAGCGTGGGCGGCCAATGAGGTTTAGGACCCCGCCGTCGTTTAAGGGCCGAAATTCAGATCAACTCCCGTATGAAAATGACCCGTCCCGAGCCGGTTCCCTCAACCCGAACCCCGAACCCGAAACCCGAAACCCTAAACCCTAAACCCTAAACCCTAAACCCTAAACCCTAAACCCTAAACCCTAAACCCTAAACCTTAAACCAAACCATAAACCCTGTCCCAGAGGCTCACATCGCTCTGGAGAATGGATGCCAGGGAACCTTCCTTGGCTGCTCAGGCTTCGCGCCCGCCCCCGTGTGCAAGGGTGCAGGTTTAGGGTTTAGGGTTTAGGGTTTAGGGTTTAGGGTTTTGGGTTTTGGGTTTTGGGTTTTGGGTTTTGGGTTCTTAGGGTTTTGGGTTCTTAGGGTTTTTAGGGTTTAGGGTTTTTATGGTTTAGGGTTTAGGGTTTCGGGAGGGCTTAGGGTTTAGGGTTTAGGGTTTAGGGTTTAGGGTTTAGGGTTTAGGGTTTAGGGTTGAGAGTTTCGGGTTTAGGGTTTGGCGTTTAGGGTTTAGGGTTTAGGGCTTAGGGTGCAAACCCCTAGTTCTTAGTAGGGAATGAGGGTATGAGGGCCCCATATATAACTTTGAGCGATCCTAGAGGGTACCTCATTCCCTCACTCCCTACTAAGAACTAAACCCTAGACCCTCAACCCTAAACCCCCAAAACCCTAAACCCCAAACCCTAAGCCCTAAACCCTTCTTCCCTACTAAGAACCAGCCATGCAAGGGTTAATTGGTACTTCGGACTTAGGGGCAGGCCTGAAAAGTTAAACCCTAAACCCTGAACCCTAAATCCTAAACCCTAAACCCTAAACATCCTGGCCCTGGCAAAGCGAGCCAAGCATCTGTTCCGAGGAGGTTCAGCCCCGCGAAGAGGATGTCGATGCGCTCGGAGAGGTGCTTGAAGTAGTGGTTCGACATACCTAGACCCAGGAGTAACCTAGGAATAAACAAGGGTACCCTAAACCCTAAACCCTAAACCCTAAACCCTAAACCCTAAACCCTAAACCCTTTTTTGGCTTTAAGGGGAATATAAGGAAACCCCAACCCTAAACGGAAATAAGGGCCTACTCCGGGGTCCCAGATGCAGTACAGGTCTTCCTGGAGCTGCATCGTCTGCAACATGTTGTACTTGATGAACCTGGCAGGATAAGGGGTTTAGGGTTCAGGGTTCAGGGTTCAGGGTTTAGGGTTTAGGGTTTAGGGTTTAGGGTTTAGGGTTTAGGGTTTAGGGTTTAGGGTTTAGGGTTTAGGGTTTAGGGTTTGTTGCTGCACTGTTCCTGTTGAAAAGAGCGCCGTGTGTTGGGATGGGAGGGGATGGCTGCAAGAGTTCGGGAGTTTGCAGTTTTGGGAGACACCCGAATTGAGGAGGATGAGTGAGTTGAGGGGTGGTTCGGGGGCGTGTCCTGGGCTCCTTTACAGAGTCTCGACGGCTTTGAGGTTTCAGAACGGGGGGGACGCTGCCTTCTCTTCTGCAGGTGGAAGTGGCCAGAAACTGAGAAATTGACTTTGCGCGAACCCTGAAGCTGTATGAGGACTGATCAACATATACAACACAATACTTAAAAAAACTTCACACATTCCGAAAGTGGTGGAACCCGACAACTCCCCAAGCGAAGGATGTAGGGCCCTCATTCCTACAAAGAACCAGCCAGACACCCTAAACCCAGACCCTACATGCTAAACCCCTCAAACCCAACACCAACCCCAAACCTAAAGCAAAAAACGGCAAAAACCTAAACCCACAAAAGACTTCCTTCATCAGCAACCCTAAACCCCAAACTCCAAAATCTCAACCCTAAACCCCAAACCCTGAACCCTAAACCTAAACCCTAAACGCCTTGGAGCTGTCTTGGAATCATGGACCCATCGGCTGAGAGGTCCAATGAACTCGCCTACCTGCACAAATAGGGTTTAGGGTTTAGGGTTTAGGGTTTAGGGTTTAGGGTTTAGGGTTTAGGGTTTAGCGTTTAGGGTTTAGGGCTTAAGGGGCTCAGTATGTTTCTTTAGCTTTAGGGTTTAGGGCTCAGGTGTCGGATTTTTGTGTTTGAAAGGCGGCGTTGGTCTTGCAAGCGATATCTTGGCAGTAGATGAACTTCAACCCTAAACCCTAATCCCCAAACCCTAGCCCCAAACCCTAAACCCTAAAACCCTAAACCCTAAACTATAAGACTCTAAACCCTGAAGCTCGGTTTCTTGTGTGTAGGATACGTAGCTCCTAGACCCTAAACCCACAATCCCTAAACCCTAAACCCTAAACCCTAAACCCTAAACCCTAAACCCTAAACCCTAAACCCTGACCCTAACGGCCAGGGGAGACATGTACTTCGCCACCTCGATAGTGCCATTGTTGTCCGCGTCGATCATTCGAAACCTCTCCGCAGCATTTAGGGTTTGGGGCTTGGGGTTTAGGGTTTAGGGTTTATTTAGGGTTTAGGGTTTAGGGTTTGGGGTTTAGGGTTTAGGGTTTAGGGTTTAGGGTTTGGGGTTTGGGGTTTAGGGTTAAGGGTTTAGGGTATAGGGGTTAGGGTATAGGGTTTAGTGTTAAGGGTTTAGGGCTTAGGGCTTAGGGTTTAGGGTTTTGGGTTTAGGGTTAGGGTGTAGGGTTTAGAGTTTAGGGTTTAGGGTTTAGGGTTTACGGTGTAGGGAGGCTTGGGATTGGGGGTTGAGGGTTTAGGGTTTATTGGGGCTGAGGGGACCTTGGGGCTCATGGTGGGCTTTGCGACCTACCTAGCTGAGATTCTGGATCATGCAACCGCCCTCTATCCCAACCCTAAACCCGAAACCCGAAACCCGAAACCCTAAACCCTAAACCCTAAACCCTAAACCCTAAACCCTCCCTAAACGCCTGCAAAGCTGTTGTTCGGGGTTTGGGGGCTCAGCTTCGGGTGGTTGCAGCCGTGCTTCCCATTGTACACATTCAGCACGCGCGTGGTTGAGGGTAAGCCCTAAACCCTAAACCCTAAACCCGAAACCCTAAACCCTAAACTCTCAGGGATGTTTTGAGGGCTTAGGGCAACTGCTGCCCTGGAGCAGCTGCTCCAAGTCGTTCTCGTCAATGTCCATGACGCGCAGTCGGCTTTGCAAAACCGGATTACGGCGCGCTCCCTCAATCAAGTCCTCAAGAGAGAGCTCCCCGCTGCCATCCTGATTGATGCCTTGGTAGCCCTAAACCCTAAACCCTAAACCCTAAACCCTAAACCCTAAACCCTAAACCCTACAAAAGTGCAAAGGGCGCCACTGGGCTACCAAGATGCTTTCAAAGAGCTTTCCCAAGGACTCCCGGTCCTTCTCAATGTCCTCCTCCATCCTCTACGACACTGGGAACCCCAGGGAAAAAATGATGATTTTGGCTGTTTCTTAGGAATTATAGTACCCTAAACCCTAAACCCTAAACCCTAAACCCTAAACCCTAAACCCTAAACCCTAAACCCTAAACCCTAAACCCTAAACCCTAAACCCTAACCCAAAAAGAAAAAATACTCCCAAGTACCCCTAAGCATCTGCTCCGCCAAGTTCAGGATGTCGTTCTGTCGCGCCTCGGCAAAGGTGTCCACCACCACAGCGATGATCATGTTCAAGACACCGAAGACCAGCGTCAGCAGCGAGCCCACAAATATCACCTATACTGAACTTGGAACCCTAGCAAAAATTACAAAATTTAAGCTGCTTCCCTAAACCCTAAACCCTAAACCCTAAACCCTAAGCCCTAAGCCCTAAACCCTAAACAGTATCCCTAAGTCACGGCGGTTCCCGGATGCTTCTGGATGATGGGCACCGCCACCAGCCCCCAGCTATCGCCGGCGATGACCGTCTTAAACAGAAGCAGGTTGGCTGCCATCACCGATCCTACGCTGAAGGGTTGAAGGTTTAGGGTTTGGGGTTTAGGGTTTAGGGGTTAGGGTTTAGGGTTTAGGGTTTAGGGTTTAGGGTTTAGGGTTTAGGGTTTAGGGTTTAGGGTTTAGGGTTTAGGGTTTAGGGTTCAGGGTTTAGGGTTTAAGGTTTAGGGTTATGCTGAACTTGGAACCCTAGCAACAATTATGTTTGCTCAGCTGCATCTTAGGGTTTATAGTGCCCATAAACTTCAAAAGGATATTCCCAAGTGTCCCCAAGGATCTGGTTGAGGCCACGCAAAAGTCGCATCCCGCAAACTCCTCGGCCATGTCCTGCATGATGGGGTCCACGAACTCCACCAGCAACATGGCCCAGAGGGTCATGATCACGAAGCAGAACCTTACTGTTGCTTAGCAGGGAATAGGGGGAATGAGGCACCCTATACAAGCCCTTAAAGGGTATATATATATATATATATATATACATATACATATATACATATAGGGACCCCCAAGTCCCTCCTTCCTTGCTAGAAAACAGCCAAGGAAGCAAGAAGGACCACGCGAGCGTGCGCAGGCAGGTCGCCATCATGGTCACGAGCTTCTCAAGCTCCCGGAGCCCGCGGATCTTCCGGAAGAGGCGCAGGAGCCGGCAGATCCGGGCCAGGCGCAAGGCGCCTGGCTGTTGGGAATGAGGTAGGCTTTCTCCCCCCTATATATATATATATATATGTATATATATATATATAGAAATATATTGTCGAGGGGGGGGGGTGAGCAAATATATATATATATATATATATATCTAGCCTTTAAGGGATTACATAGGGTACCGAAATTCCCTCATTCCCTACTAACCAACAATAAGGCGCGCATGACGCCCAGCTTGGCGAGGGCGTTCGCCGACTCCACCGCTTCCATCTGGACGAAGATCATCTCGACATAGCCGCAGAACACCACGGTGATGTCCAGGATCACGACCCAGTCCAAAAGCACTGCAATCGTACCATGGTGTGGTTTAGGGTTTAAGGTTTAAGGTTTAGGGTTTAAGGATTTCAATCTGTAAACTGATCTTCCCGCGTATAGGCTTCTTGTCCGGAAGCTACACAGAGAACATGGTCAGCGCATCCGCTCTCGGGGGTTTTTATGCGGGGTTTTTACGCTCAAGACAGATTCCTGAAAGTTTACGATAATAGCGGTCTATTGGGGTCCTTGTTATAAGGGGATCCGACTATTGGGGGGCGGGGGGGGTGTTCCTATCTATGTATACATAGATGTATATGTATATGTATGTGTATATGCGTAAGTGTATATGTGTATGTATATGTATATATATATATAATATATATATATATATATATATATATTAGGGGCTCCCTGATCCTCCCTTATTTTCGTAAACCCCCAAATTGCAAAAACCGTCCCCGGCCGTGGCCCGGGGCACCTCTGCCAACGAACAGGAACAGCAACTCGAGGGTGTAGAGGACCAGACAGATGTCTGCGAACATGACGGATCCTCGGGTTTTTTAAGGGTTTTTAGGGCCTTTTTAGGGCCTTTTTAGGGTTTTTAGGGTTGTTTAGGGGTTTTTGGGGCTTTTAGGGTTTTTAGGGCTTTTGAGTTTTTGGGGCTTTTTTAGGGTTGTTTAGGGGTTTTCAGGGCTTTAAGACCACACAGATGTCGGCGAACAGGACGGAATTCGGAGGAGGGGGACATGACACTCCTTGACTTGGGTGGGGTTTTTAGGGCTTTTAGGGTTTTTAGGGTTTCTAAGGTTTTTAGGTTTAGGGTTTAGGGTTTAGGGTTTAGGGTTTAGGGTTTAGGGTTTCTTGGATTTTTCGGGTTTTGAGGTGTTTTAGGGTTTGGGGGGTTTAGGGTTTGGGGTTCAGCCCTGTGTCTTCCTACGCACATGGTCAGACAGCACCGCGGCGGCTTGCCTGCGCGCATCATCACACCCTGCACTGTTGGGTCTAGAACACATGCCATAGCTCGAACAGCTCACCGGCAGGTAGTTACACGCTCGTTGTACGCATGAATTCAAGCGGCCACGCTTGCCGCAACGACTGCATGTTGAGTCTGTCTGACCCACAGGAGTGGCCGCCACCCTCAGCGCCCAACAAACCCCCGGAACCAACCTAGGACCGTGGCCTAGCACACGAGGCCCAGTGACCGACCCTAAACCCTAACCCCTAAACCCTAAACCCTAAACCCTAAACCCTACACTGCTAAGGCCATGCATTGGCTGCTTTTGGCTCGCCGTCCCCGGAGACCGTCCACACATCTTAGCGCGAGGCAACCCAAAGCACGCACAAGAACACGACAAGCACAGGTCCCTTGTGTAGGTGAGCCCTAAACCCTAAACCCTAAACCCTAAAGCCTAAAGCCCAAAGCCCAAAGCCTAAACCCTAAACCCTAAACCCTAAACCCTAAACCCTAAATCGTAAATGCATAGTGGGCTCAAGATTCGCTACAGCCCCAGACGTTCGAGGCAGCCCTGTCATGCCCATTTGCGCAGATATTACTCCCCTCCCCCTAAGATGAAACCCCCCCCCCGACCCCCCAATATTAAATACCCCACCATTATAGTTATATCATAGTATATATTGGAAGGAAACTTAACCCTAAACCCTAAACCCTAAACCCTAAGCCCTAAACCCTAAACCCTAAACCCTAAACCCTAAAATCTAAACCCTAAACCCTAAACCCTAGCCCCCTACCAAGCCGAAGCTCCAGCAAGGCGAAGCGAAGTCCCGCCAAATGCTGAACCCTAAACCCTAAACCCTAAACCCTAAACCCTAAACCTTAAACCCTCACAAGCCAAGCACGAAGGTGCCTCGAGTCAGAAGGCCTAGTGCAGCCGAATGCAGCCACGCATCCAGGCGGGGGCGAGCCGCCGCTAACCCGGGAGTCGATGTCTACCCATGTGCACGCAGCGTCTGCCACCACCACGCATGCCATGAAGTTGACGACGTGGGGGTTGTCGATGAGCTGGTGTGCAAATGACTTGAACCTCAGACAGGACTGTGTCTCAAGGGGACTGCCTAAGCTTTCGACTGTGCAACACACACTTGTCCAACGAGGGAAACCTTGTTGACTCGCTCCTACTTTACGGCGCTTGCTATTGTTTTGTTTCCGGGGCGGGGGGGGGGGGTACCCAGCAAATGAAGTGAACTGGCGCCAACCCTAAACCCTAAAACCCAAAAAACCTAATCCCTAAACCCTAAACTGGACCCTAAACCCTAAAACCCGACGAGAAAACAAATACAAAAAACAACCTAAACCCGGCACGAGCCTGCTTGTTCCCGTCATGGCCTCCGTTGCCTCGGAGTTCGAAGCCTGGGCGAACATCGAAAGTCGTAGGTTCAGTTACCACACTCATCAATCCGTCCCCCCCTAGAAACAGCAGGAACCGCGAAAAAACGAAGGAAAACCTGAAGAAACAGGTAAACTACCAGGCAAATTTCCGCGCGTTGGGACCCTAAACCCTAAACCCTGAACCCTAAATCCTAAACCCTAAGCCCTAAACCCTAGACCCTAAACCCTTGCAGCCCGGGAGCATCCATCTTGATGAACTCACCTGCCACGGAAGCCCTCTTGGCCCTGTCGGCGCTCCCGGTCCGCAACTCGGATTGCAATGCCTTTTAGGGTTTGGGGTTTAGGTTTAGGGTTTAGGGCTTCGAGTTTAGGGTTTAGGGTTTCGGGTTTAGGGTTTCAGGGTTTAGGGTTTAGGGTTGAGGGCTTAGGGTCCCGAAGGTCGTTTCCCCCCCAACACAAACTGTATGTGTATAAGGGCACGGCGCCTGCGTGTCCTTCATGTTGTGCACATTGACCTTGACTCTGGTGTCGTCGTCCAGATGCCTTGTCAAGTCGTTGTCCTTACTCGCCATGGCAGCCACCCTCGCGTGTAGGGCTTAGGAACTATGACCCTAAACCCTAAACCCTAAACCCTAAACCCTAAACCCTAAACCCGAAACCCTAAACCCCACAACAGCTCTGAGCCAATCTTCTTCCCATCGGGGAGCCGAGGGATGAACACCAGCCCTCTTCGGGTTGAGGGCTTTCGGGCTTGGGGGTTTAGGGGTTTAGGGGTTTAGGGTTTAGGGTTTAGGGTTTAGGGTTTAGGGTTTAGGGTTTAGGGTTTAGGGTTTAGGGTTTAGGGTTTAGGGTTTAGGGTTTAGGGTTTAGGGTTTAGGTTTCGGGTTTAGGGTTTAGGGTTTAGGGTTTAGGGTTTAGGGTTTAGGGTTTAGGGTTTAGGGTTTAGGGTTTAGGGTTTAGGGTTTAGGGTTTAGGGTTTAGGGTTTAGGGTTTAGGGGCTTAAGGCTTAGGGTTTAGGGTTTGAGGGTTTAAGATTTAGACTTTGGGGTTTAGGGTTTAGGGTCCCTAAACCCCAAACTCCAAGCCCTAAACCGAAAAGCCTACAGGGTTTAGGGTTTAGGGCTCACGCTTTGTTGAGGCCACTCAACCCTCAACCCTGCAGACTCCCAGCATAAGGGTTTAGGGTTTAGCCTTAGGTCTCAGGGTTGGTTAGTGGATTCCGGGCCTAGGAGCTCTTACTTGCTAATTAAGCCTTAGAGTTTCGGGCCCTGTTGGGTCGGGTGGGGGCGTGGCGGACCGGAAATATTCTGAGCTCTCTCACTTGTCCCATCTCCCAATTGAATTGCGCGTTGTGCTTTCGCACGTCGTCCGCCAGGTGTACCTCTCCGCAAGAGGGCGGTTTTCCTACTGGTCCTTCTCAGGGAAGGAGGGAATGAGGTAGCCTAGAGAATCCCTTACAGGTTCCTGATTCGGGGACTTGAGGGGCCGTTTCGTGCTTAGGGCTGCTCCTCTAGGGTTTACGGCTTCCGCGTGCGGGCCTTTGGCATGGCTTCGGCCTTCGGCCTCAAAAACAGTCCCTGATAAGTAAATTATGACACCCCCCCCCCTTATACTCCCTATTAAGGACTGTGAGGGAGGGGGCACTCGAAACCCTAAACCCTAAACCCCAAAGTGGGGCTCTCCGCCAAATGTCTGAGCAGGCCGTAGCCTCGCCTCGATTTTTCCTGCCCCCTAGGAAGGGCAGATTATTAGGGTTTAGGGTTTAGGGTTTAGGGTTTAGGGTTTAGGGTTTAGGGTTCAGGGTTTAGGGTTTAGGGTTTAGGGTGTAGGGTTTCGGTGGTTGACGGTTTACGAGTTCGGGTTTAGGGCTCGCGGCTTTGACCAGTTGTGAGCAGCTTAGCAACCCCAAACTTTCAACCCGGGCCCTGAACCCTGAAACCTCAAAACACCACCCAGCACAGAGTGGCGAACCCCCGACACCTGCAGGAGTCCCCTGCATTCCGCGCGAGAACTCCGGCACCATGCTTGCGGTTTTGGGTTTTGGGATGTGGGTTTAAGGTTTAGGGGTTTCGGGCAGTATGTACTAACAGGAGCTTGACAAACTTGAGCGGAGGCCAAGCTAAGAGGAGCTTGACAGACCCCAGCAAGGGCCAGGCATAAGGAGAAGGGTCTAGGGTTTAGGGTTTCGGGGTTTAGGGAACGAAAAGTTTGTCAGAATCAACGCGTCCTTGCAGAGACCAAACGTACTCCCGAAGCCTTAAGATCCCAAACCGTAAACCCTAATCCCTAAGAGCCTAAAGTGGTGAACCTCTGAAGCCCGCCACCCCTAAACCTGAAACTCTTGAGCCCTACACCCCTAAAACTGAAACCCTAGGCCCCTAAACCGCTAACAACCTAAGCCCTGGGCCTGAAATAGGGTTCAGGGCTTAGGGCTTAGAGTTTAGGGCTTCGGGCTTAGGGTTTAGGGTTAAGGGTTGAGGGCCCTGAAACCCTAAACTCCTAAACCCTGAACCCTTAGCCCACTCACTTGCCTGGTGTGGCTCCCAGATTCGGATCCAGCGATGTTGCTTCGGATCCCACCTAATAAGGGCCTTAATACTGGCAATAAAGCTTTCGGGGGCTTACTATGGTAGATTTATACAGGCTATTGTTCGCAATTATTCCCACCCCTATAGTAGATCGTTGCAGGGGCTTGAAGGTTTACGATTTTTGGGCTTGGGGTTCATGCGAAAAAAGAGGTGCATTCTGGCGCTACGGACTTTGGGGGTCTTGGGGTGTAGCGCTTAGGGTTTCGGGTTTCGGGTTTAGAGATTGGGGTGCTTTAACGTTTGGGGCTTTGGGGCTGTGAGGCTTAGGGACGACTGGAGCTCTACATGGATTACAAATTGTATATGTTTTAAAAAAATTAATAATATTGTTATAATAATACTGAGTGAATCATTGTCAATTCAACGATTCGTCAATGATGCTCAAAAAGTTTGGCATTTATTTTAAAATAAATATTCGTCAATATTTTTATTTTTTATTTTTTTTGTAGTTTCTATTTGGTTTTTTTTTTTTACAAAAAACCATTATCGAGTCTGAGTTGAAGGTTTATGAGCAAATGCCCCCCCCAACGGGCCTTCGCGTCTGAGGATTTAGGGTTTCGGTTTAGGGTTTAGGGTTTAGGGTTTAGGGTTTAGGGTTTAGGGTTTAGGGTTTAGGGTTTAGGGTTTAGGGTTTAGGGTTTAGGATTTAGGGGCTAGGGTTTAGGGTTTAGGGTCTAGGGTTTCGGGTTTAGGGTTTAGGGTTTAGGCTTTGGGCTTTAGGCTTTAGGCTTTAGGCTTTGGGCTTTAGGTTTTGGGCTTTAGGCTTTAGGCTTTAGGCTTTAGGCTTTAGGCTTTAGGCTTTAGGCTTTAGGGTTTAGGGTTTAGGGTTAGGGTTTGGGGTTTGGGGTTTAGAATTTGGGGTGTAGGTTTAGTTCGGGCTTAATTAGTGTGAATCAAGGGTTCTTCGGGCATAGGGTGTTCGCCCGCTTGGGGCTTGGGGCCCTCGAATCAACGCTGAAGCCTCAAAACCCTAAACCTCAACCCCATAAGAAGACGAAAAGAAGCCAAGCCTGTGGACCCCGAGACTCACAGCATCCAATCCTCCCCCCTAAACCCTAAACCCTAAACCCTAAACCCCCCCTTAGGGTTGCTTGGGGTTGTTTAGGTTTGCTTGGGGTTGCTTGGGCTTGCTTCGGGTTGCTTAGGGCTATTTAGGGTTTAGGGTTGGGGTTCAGGGTTTAGGGTTCAGGGAGCACTGCTGGGCTTTGGCGGAGTCATGGCATCCACGTAAGCAAAGCCACTCTTGCGCTCTCGGGTACAAGGCACCGAAGACGAGGCTGCCGGCTGGATCGGCTTGCTCTCTTTCAGGAACAATTTTTGCGGCCGGCTTTGCACCACATGTAGGCATGCCCTTCATAAAAACGGCACTTCATCCAACCAATACCAAATCCACAGCGAGGGCAGACATCGTAAGGGAGCTGTTCCTTGCGGATCTGGACCTGCTGCACAATGGTGTTTTCCTGGTCAGAAACCGACTTGATTCCCTCAGGCTAGCGACCAGTCTCGGCTTGGAACATGTCCACTGCTTGTTGCTTCGCTTCTTTTGCCAAGGATTCGTTGTCGTCGAAAGCGGCCAACTGAGCCATCTTGAGCTGGTGCTTCCTGTCAGCGGTTTGAAGCTTGCCGAGCTCCCGGCGGGCAAGCTTTTTCTGTTCCTGGTTCCTCTTCCAGGCTGTGATGCCCTCCATTTCACTGGATCCATCATGCGCGATCGCCCTGAAGATGAAGGCACGAGCTGCTCGGCCGCATCGGCCCGAAGCCGTGCTCAGAACACCGCACGTGTGACTGCCAGTTCTACGTATGCATCCAAGACAGTTTCCACACTTGAGGATGAAGGGCACGCAGGTATGGCACTGACAGTTAAGCCACTTGAGGCGGCCAGCAGCTTTGGAGATTTCGTCTTCGCCACGCCGAAGTGACTCTTCGATCTTCACCAGCACCAAATCTTTCGCAGCCGCCAGCTTCGCGAACGATGCCGCATTCCCTCCTGGCTTGTTAGGATGCGCTCCCAGACTCAGGCGCCTGAACGCCTGATCTACCGCAGTGGGGTCTACCGGGAGCTCGGGAAATCCCAAGACTTCAAGAGCCTCCTGCATCCCAGCCAAACCGGACGCAGCCTGGGCTTTCGTCGGCATATTGAGTCAGGAGCTACTGCCACCAGAGCTCGAAGAAAGGCTGCCCTAAGCAAACGAATAAAGTATCAACAATACTTCAACATGACATGTAATGTTGACTTTGCCACATACCAGCACAGTAACAATTCCGTCCCATGCTCATGGACCAAAGCTGGCAGACACGGTTTGCAGAGTGCACTGTTCCTTGCCGCACTGCCACAACACTATACAGCCGGTTCATGAATCATGGGCAAGCGACTGAACCAGTTAACAAAACGCCGGAGCTAATCGTTCGAACATCAGTGTGTGACAGAGCACAACAAAAGGCTAATCTTTGTAAGTCTGTCATGTTGTCGTTAAGAGGAACCTGCAACTCGGAACCATCGAGACCACGGAACGCCAACTGTCGGCAGGCAGTAAGGCCATCGAGCTCGTCAGGCGCTGACGTGTGGCCTTCCTTTCTTCTTGAGACCCACGAAGCATGGCCTGAGATCCGGGGGCGAGGTCGGCCATGGTGTCTTGCGCCTCGGCTGGGGTGACCTTCCCACGTGGCCTTTGCTTTCGAATCCCAGGGTGCGCGAGGCGACGGAGATTCAAAACAAGACAAGCACTAGTGATACAGTGATACAAAGACACAAGCCTTTGGCTCCCAAATGGCCCGCCTTTGGTTTTGAATCCCAGGGTGCGCGATGAGACGGAGACTCAAAAGAAGACACGCATTAGTGATAAAGAAGCAAACAAGCATGCAGAACCTAGTGCATCACTGTATGGCCATGAGTAAGCGAACAATGTCCAGGGAACGGATGAGCTCCCGACCATGCTGCTTCCAACTTTCGGGTAGATTGTGTTCCAGGGGTTCAGGGTTTGGGGTATTGCTTGCCGGGGAACGGGCAGATCATGGCAGAACCTGTGGACCTTCGGCTATTCAAAAATCGGTTATTTCAAAATTTTGTTATTCAATATTCCAAACATCGGTTATTCAACAAATCCGAGAGCAAACAAGTACCATGAGGCTTTGACATCTTATACCCTACAAACTCTCGGCCTTTTTTTGACTGCCAGCTTCTGAGTGTGGTTCTGAGCGCGCTTGCTGTGTAGCGGCTGCATTGACTGCTCGAAAAACGACGGGAACAACGGCAAGTACTTTAGTGGACATGTAAAGGCTTTAGAAGGGGATTAGAAGGCTTACTGCTTCGGTACGGAAGAGCTTCAAATCAGGACGCCTCTCACAAGTATGTCAGAGTCTCCGAGGCCAACCGAGGAGCACTGCTGGGCTTTGGCGGAGTCACGGCATCCACGTAAGCAGAGCCACGCTTGCGCTCTCGGGTACAAGGCACCGAAGACGAGGCTGCCGGCTTGCTCTCTTTTCAGGAACAAGTTTTGCGGCCGGCTTTGCACCACATGCAGGCATGCCCTTCATGAAAACGGCACTTCATCCAACCAATACCACATCCACAGCGAGGGCAGACATCGTAAGGGAGCTGTTCCTTGCGGATCTGGACCTGCTGCACAATGGTGCTTGCGCGGTCAGAAACCGACTTGATTCCCTCAGGTAAGCGACCAGTCTCGGCTTGGAACATGTCCACTGCTTGTTGCTTCGCTTCTTTTGCCAGGGATTCGCTGTCGTCGAAAGCGGCCAACTGAGCCATCTTGAGCTGGTGCTTCCTGTCAGCGGTTTGAAGCTTGCTGAGCTCCCGGTGGGCAAGCTTTTCCTGTTCCTGGTGCCTCTTCCAGGCTGCGATGCCCTCCATTTCACTGGATCCATCATGCGCGACTGAAGATGAAGGCACGAGCTGCTCGGCCGCATCGGCCCGAAGCCGTGCTCAGAACACCGCACGTGTGACTGCCAGTTCCACGTATGCATCCAAGACAGTTTCCACACTTGAGGATGAAGGGCACGCAGGTATGGCACTGACAGTTAAGCCACTTGAGGCGGCCAGCAGCTTTGGAGATTTCGTCTTCGCCACGCCGAAGTGACTCTTCGATCTTCACCAGCGCCAAATCTTTCGCAGCCGCCAGCTTCGCGAACGATGCCGCATTCCCTCCTGGCTTGTTAGGATGCGCTCGCAAAAAGGGTGCCCTTTTGTGTTTCACGGGAACTATCAGGGAACCTGCCCTAAGAAAAAGGGAATGGGGGCCTACTCTGAGTCCTCGTAGCCCTAAACCCTAGACGCTATACCCTAAACCCTCAACCTTTGTTACTGAACGCTCCATGTGGTGCTACTTGTTGGAGCTCCTGGGGTGCCCCCGCCAGTCCACTCGCGTGAAGCAGCCTGGTTGCGTGTGGGTTTAGGGTTTAGGGTTTAGGGTTTAGGGTTTAGGGTTTAGGGCTTAGGGCTTCGGGATTAGGGTTTAGGGCTTAGGGCTTAGGTTTAGGGGTCAGGGTTTGGGTTTAGGGCTTCGGGTTGCAGGATTTAAGGATTTAGGGATCCAGGGGGTTCGGTCTGGACTTGTGGCTCAGGGCTGAGGGTTTCAGGTTTAGGTTTTCGGGTTTGGGTTGCAAAGACCAAATTGTCTAAGGACGGTGTAGGGTTTAGGGTTTAGGGTTTAGGGTTTAGGGTATTCAGAGTGTGGAGTTTACCAGTGTTTTGGGGCTGCGGGGCTCAGAGCTTGAGGAGTTGAAGACTTTAAGGCACTCACTCGTTTAGGGTTTAGGGTTGAGGGTTGAGGGTTTAGGGTTTAGGGTTTAGGGTTTCGGGTTTAGGGTTTAGGTTGGGGTCCGCCGACCCTGGCGGCGTTGGATGGGAAAAGGAGGGGGTGGGGGTAGGGGGGGGTTTCCCGGCAGCTTTTCCGTGGAGGAACAGGCCACCCACACCGCGTAAACTCATGGACCATAGGCGGTTTGGCACAGGGCATAGGGCTCTTTTGGAAAAAACCCCCCCAAACCCCCCACCCAAACCCAATCCTTAAACTTGTTCTCCTGCGGGTCGGCGGCTTGAGCCGGAGGCTCTTAAATCCGGGCACGCCCGTGGTCAGCTTTAGCTATGACGGGGGGGGTTAAGCCGCTGACCCGGTTGGCTCCCCAACATCCGGCTCCGAATGCGGCTCCCGAAGGGCAGCAATTTTCAGGTACAATTTTATCGCAAAAAACGCGCTATTTCCCACCGAATTTGGGCTCCTGGACGCATTTTTTGGGTGCCCCATGGGGGGTCCCAAAAACGACCCCGGAGAGCATCATCGACCCTCTTTTTCAACTTTGGCCAAACACGCGTTGTTGATGTTTTTTGGGTGGCATTGGCCACCCCAAAGGACCCCACAAGAGCGCGCATCATGAGCATCAGCGGGTTGGGTTTTGGGTTTCGGATGCGGCTGAGAGCTTGGAAAACACAGAAATCGCTGTAAATACCGTGGTTTTCGTGCTGTTACGGACATTTCCGTTTTGAGGCCGGCATATGCCCCTATAAGCCACGCATGCCTGGAGGCCGGAGCCGCTGATGCTCATGATGCGCGGCCGTGCGGGGGGCCAGGGTGCGCATCATCGAGGCTTCGTTTCTCTTTAAAAAACCGGGGGGCGAGCATCAGCAGCATCAGTGGCTCCGGAAAGGGTTTCGGGCGGCAGGATTTCGAAGGATGCTGGCATAACTCCATAACATGGCACTCGACATGCGCGCACACGCGCGCGCACCCGCGCGCGCGCGCGCGCGCGCGCGGGAAACGCACCAGTTCCCGCGCGCGCCCATGGCTTCCCTGGCCCCATGGCTCCTGGCCCCGTAGCTCTACCTCTTTCAGCTGACTTTAAAGGGCTGCCATGGACCCATGGCTCCTGGCCCCATGGCGCCTGCAAGTTCTCTCAGCTACGCTCACCCCACCCATGCCCCCATGACCCCAATCTCGTATGGCCCCACCCCCCCTCCTGGCCCCATGGATGACGCCCGGCCGGCCCCAAGTCGCTCCGCCGGGTCCGCCCACCCCGCCGATGGCTCCCCCATGCCCCTCGACCCCCATGGCCCCCATGGACCCATGGCTCCTCTGGCCCCATGGCCCATGGCTCCTGGCCCCATGGTCCCGTAGCTCTTGGCCGCAGGGTCCATGGTCCCATGACCCCATGCCCCTGGACCCTGGTCCCATGGCTCTTTCAGCTGACTTTAAAGGGCGCCATACATGCCCGCCCGCGCCGTTGTTTGTTGTTGGGGGCCAGGGTGCGATCATCGAGGCTTCGTTTCTCTTTGGGGACCCGGGGGGCGAGCATCAGCAGCATCAGCGGCTCCGGAAAGGGTTTCGGGCGGCAGGATTTCGAAGGATGCTGGCATAACTCCATAACATGGCACTCGACATGCGCGCACACGCGCGCGCGCGCGCCCGCGCGTCTAATGTTCAACTATTGGCTGAGTAAGGTGCTGACGATCATGCACATGAACACCTCCACGGTGTTTGCGAACGTGAAAACTGTACATGCGCACTTCCACAGTGTGGCCATGCACCTCCACGGTGTTTCTGAACATGAACACCTCCACGGTGTTTGCGAACGTGAAAACTGTACATGCACACTTCCACAGTGTGGCCATGCACCTCCACGGTGTTTCTGAACATGAACACCTCCACGGTGTTTGCGTTGTTGTTGTTGTTGTTGTTGTTGTTGTTGTTGTTGTTGTTGTTGGCTGAGTAAGCTGCTGACGATCATGCACATGAACACCTCCACGGTGTTTGCGAACGTGCAAACTGTACATGCACACTTCCACAGTGTGGCCATGCGCCTCCACGGTGTTTCTGAACATGAACACCTCCACGGTGTTTGCGAACGTGAAAACTGTACATGCACACTTCCACAGTGTGGCCATGCACCTCCACGGTGTTTCTGAACATGAACACCTCCACGGTGTTTGTGTTGTTGTTGTTGTTGTTGTTGTTGTTGTTGTTGTTGTTGTTGTTGTTGTTGTTGTTGTTGTTGTTGTTGGTGGTGTTGGTGTTGGTGTTGGTGTTGTGTTGGTGTTGTGTTGTGTTGTGTTGGTTTGGTGTTGTTGTTGGTGTTGTTGTTGTGGTTGTTGTTGTTGTTGTTGTTGTTGTTGTTGTTGTTGTGGTTGTTGTTGTTGTTGTTGTGGTTGTTGTTGTTTTTGTTGTTGTTGTTGTTGTTGCTGTTGTTGTTGTTGTTGTTGTTGTTGTTGTTGTTGTTGTTGTTGTTGTTGTTGTTGTTGTTGTTGTTGTTGCTGCTGCTGTTGCTGTTGCTGTTGCTGCTGCTGTGCTTGCTGCCGTTGTCCTGCTGCTGGTGGGCGTGCCCGGCTGTGGGCGACAGCCCGTTAGATTTAGGGTTTAGGGTTTAGGGCTTAGGGCTTAGGGTTTAGGGTTTAGGGTTTAGGGTTTAGGGTTTAGGGTGCCACTGCATCCCATGCCTTACAGGTAGACGGAGGCCAGGCCAACCAACAATGGCTAATCTAGGTACCTTTACTGTTTTCGTAGGTTCTTTTCTTTTTTCCCTTTTTTTTTTGTTGGGGGGGGGGGGGGGGGGGGGTAACTAGAGTATAGTTACATACCGCGGGGGCCATAGCAACTAGACAAAGAAAGGGCTTCAGGGGGTTATTCTAGTAGAGTCTTCTAGGGGGCCAGAAGGGAAACCGTAAACCCTAAACCCTAAACCCGAAACCCTAAACCCGAAACCCTAAACCCTGCTCGTCTTTATTCCCCCTATCTTGCCGCAGCCAGGCAACAGGGCGCCACAGTCGAGGTCAGAACGACACCTGTGCGTGGCAAGCTGCCTTTGTTCAAAGGCACTCAAGGAGGGACCCTTATAAGGGACCCTGGGGGCTCTTTAGGGATTATTTGGGGGGGGGGGGGGGGGGGAGTTAGTATCCGGGGTTTAGGGTTTAGGGTTTAGGGTTTAGGGTTTAGGGTTTAGGGTTTAGGGTTTAGGGTTTAGGGTTTAGGGGGGATATATAGAAGGCGCTTTTTGCTAGCTCTGAAGCTTTGAACCCTAAGCCGGTAAAATAGCAGGATTGAGCGGGTACTGCAAACAACATGACTATCGGGGAACGCGGTAAGGGGGGATGACTGCTGGTAGAAATTTGCCATGCGCTAGCGCAACAACTTTTCTGGTTGGGGGTCTGTTGGACTTTTCACCCTAAACCCTAAACCCTTAACCCTTAACTCTGAACCCTACATCCTAAACCCTTAACTCCCAACTAGGTGATCAGCGGTGGTTTAGGTTGGCTCCAGCGTCGAAGATAATTAGGTTTCCGGGCTTGGGGCTCAGGGGAAGATTAATTTAAGCGAAGCCCGAGCCACCGCAAATGCCAGGAACAGGTTGACGAGGTCCACGATGCCTGCATCGGCTTCGATGTCCCCCTCCGTCCCTGTTCGCAGGGTCAACCCTGGCAGATACTAAACCCTAAACCCTAGACCCTAAAACCCTAAAAACCTAAACCCTGAACCCTAAACCCCGAAGACGTCACCATCGCTCGAAGCCACCATCGGCAGCGACCATAGGCCCGCGACCCACCCCGTAGTGGGCGCACAGGGTTTAGGGTTTAGGGTTTAGGGTTTGGGGTTTAGGGTTTAGGGTTTAGGGTTAGGGGCTCCTTGGACCCTCAAGGTTCTTGGATTTTGGGGTCCCTTTTTTTAGGATCCCTGAGGGAATAGAAGGTCCATATTAGGAGTATATGAGGGGGAACCTTTAGGGGTATAACCTTAGGGGTACGAGTCTGAATCCCTTGATGCTTCAGCTTCGAACTCCTCCTGTCCCTAAGTGGGGGGGGAATACATGCCAGCGAAGGCAACTTCACAACCCTTCAACCCTCAATCCCTTAAGACCTTACCCCTCGAACCCGAAGCCGCCAACCCTAAACCCTAAACCCTAAACCCTAAACTCTTGAACCTTCTGATGGCAAAGCCTTCGGGTGTCTAGGGCGTTTTCGGCTGCCGCCCCAAAACAACAGCCAGCCCCTTTCATTCAAGACCTCCCAAAACTAAAGAGGGTTTAGGGCTTTAGGGTTTAGGGTTGTAGGGTTTAGGGTTTAGGGTTTAGGGTTTAGGGTTTAGGGTTTAGGGTTTAGGGTTTAGGGTTTAGGGTTTAGGGTTTAGGGTTAGGGTTTAGGGTTTTTGGTTGAACCCTCAACACCCGCGCCCCCGGCCGTTGGAACTTTCGTGAAAGCGCTGCCCGTATTTGGCAATCGCCTGCAATGGCAGTACATTGGGTTTAGGGTTTAGGGTTTAGGGTTTAGGTTTTAGGGTTTGGGGTTTGGGGTTTGTGGTTTAGGGTTTGGGGTTTGGGGTTTGGGGTTTAGGGTTTGGGGTTTGGGGCTTGGGGTTTGGGGCTTGGGGTTTAGGGTTTGGGGTTTGGGGTTTGGGGTTTGGGGCTTGGGGTTTGGGGTTTGGGGTTTAGGGCATTGCATTGTGAACATGGTCCCCAACCTCCTTTAAACACCTACCCCTCGTGTCCCCGACTGCTGCCTCCCTTATTCCTCCCAAGTAGTGCTTGCACTATGGGAAACCCCGAACCCTAAACCCTAAGCCCTAAACCCTATTAGGGGTTAGGGCTTAGGGCATACACTCGGGGACTTTAGGGTCATTCCCACATTCCCTACTAAGAACCTGTAAGGTTTGAGCCGAAAACCCCCTCAACATCCCTAAGCCCGTAAAGCCCTCTAACGGCCTGAAAAGCCCTAAACCCTAAACCCTAAACCCTAAACTCCTAAACCGTGCAAGCCTCGAAATTACGTGTGAGCACACTTGAAATCCCTTGAACCTGCGAAACCCAAACCCGCGAAACCCAAACTCTCAACCCCCTTGCTTCGACCCACAAGTAGCCGTCTAGACTTCAAGGTTTCGGGGTTTATGGAGTTGAGGGTTTAGGGTTTCAGCTTTCAGGGTTTAGAGCCTTCGGATGCAGGGTTTAGGGTTTTTCGGGCTTGAGGCTTTGGGGCTTAGAGGCTTTAGAGCGCCCAGAGTGCACACCCCCGCTCCTTCACAGGTGAGACGTAGATGGCAACGTTGGCGTCACTGCGCATTCCGCTGACGACCTGGAGGTCGGATGCTTGAGGCCCAAATCGCTTCAGGGTGAGGGTTTAAGGGTTAAGGGTTAAGGGTTAAGGGTTAAGGGTTAAGGGTTAAGGGTTAAGGGTTAAGGGTTTAGGGTTTAGGGTTTAGGGTTTAGGGTTTAGGGTTTAGGGTTTAGGGTTTAGGGTTTAGGGTTTAGGGTTTAGGGTTTGAGTTTAGGGTTGAGGGTTTAGGGTTTAGGGTTTAAGGTTTAAGGTTTAGGGTTTAGGGCTTTGGGGTTTGGGGGGCTTCGGGGTAAGGCCCTCAAGTCGAGAAGTTGTTCTGCTCAGGATGGCTTTGGTTCTGAGGTTCTTTGTCAGATTGTTGCCCCTGGGTTTAGGGTTTAGGGTTTAGGGTTTAGGGCTTAGGGTTTAGGGTTTAGGGTGTAGGGTTTAGGGTTTAGGGTTTAGGGTTTAGGGTTTAGGGTTTAGGGTTTAGGGGTTAGGGCCTCACGGAGATCCTCAGCGCCGCACGGTGAACGCGCGTGAGTTTGTAAACGTAGCCCGAAACCAGGCCACCACTGCCTACCGATGCCTCTACCTCCCAGGGATTGAAGCTCCTCCCTAAACCCTAAACCCTAAACCCTAAACCCTAAACCTTAAACCCTAAACCCTAAACCCTAAACCCTAAACCCTAACCCTGAACCCCTAAACCCTAAACCCTGCACCCTAAACCCTAAATCCTAAACCCTAACCCTAAACCCTCTCCCGACCTCTTACAACGGAGGGAGGCCATATACATGGGACGGCACGCCACGGCCCGGGGCTTGTGTACCAGCACAGGCTTGGTTTCAGGCCCAGCATCCACACACACGCCATCGGCTGCGCGATGCGTTGCACAAGGGGTTCATGCAGGGTTTAGGGTTTAGGGTTTAGGGTTTAGGGTTTAGGGTTTAGGGTTTAGGGTTTAGGGTTTAGGGTTTAGGGTTTAGGGTTTAGGGTTTAGGGCTTAGGGTTTAGGGTTTTGGGTTTTGGGTTTTGGGTTTTGGGAACAGGGGACCGCCCGAAGCGGGCGCGAAGCTCTCTGTGAGCATCGAATCCAAACTGCCCAGAAGGCCTTCAACCGAAAGCCCTGCTTGCGGACAGGTGGGCTCTGGCAAAAGGGAGAAACCCCAAAACCAAGGGAGGCCCCCAAATTAGCCCGGAAGCCACAGCGGGCCCCTCCAGTGCCTCGAATGTAACACCCTTTTGCGGGGGTTTCAGGGGCCTCCTAAACCCTAAAACCCTAAACCTTGAGGAACATTCTTTAAAGAAAAACATCCAGGGTTTAGGGTTTTCTTAGGGTTTAAGGTTTGGGGTTTGGGGTTTGGGGTTTGGGGTTTGGGGTTTGGGGTTTGGGGTTTGGGGTTTGGGGTTTGGGGTTTGGGGTTTAGGGTTTAGGGTTTAGGGTTTACGCTCTTGCTTTTGCTCTGGGCGCCCTGCACCACGTCCAGGCAAGCCCTTGCCTGGGCTCAAAGAAAGTCTCTGGGGCTTCGGCCCTAGACCCTAAACCCTGAACCCTAAACCCTAAACCCTAAACCCTAAACCCTAAACCCTAAACGCTAAACCCTAAACCCTGAACCCTCGACCGGAAAATCCCCCCCCAGAAGCGGCATCCCGAAACCTCAGGGTGCAGGGCTCCCAAATCCAAGGATGTTGAGGACCTCTCTCTAGGGTTTGGGGTTTAGGGTTTAGGGTTTAGGGTTCAGGGTTTAGGGTTTAGGGTTTAGGGTTTAGGGTTTAGGGTTTAGGGTTTAGGGTTTAGGGTTTAGGGTTTAGGGTTTAGGGTTTAGGGTTTAGGGTTTAGGGTTTAGGGTTTAGGGGTTAGGTTGTAGGCTTTGAAAACCCTAAGTCCAGAACCCTAAACCCTGAAACCCTGAAGCTCTCTCAGTCGCCCCTGCAACCAGCATCTCTCGAAGGGAATCCTCCACACCTCAACCCTAAATCCTAAACCCTAAACCCTAGCCCTAAACCCTAAACCCTAAACCCTAAACCCTAAACCCTAAACCACAGCCCGGGGCCCTGCAACCCCAACACCCCGAGCTCCGGACAGAGGTGGACGTTATTGCGCCCCATCTGTTTCAGGCCCTGGGAGCGTATCTGGAGAAAGTTGACCAGGTACGTGCCATGCACCACCTGGCACCACGCTTGGGCTGTAAGGGATTTGGGGTCTGGGGTCTGGGGTCTTGGGTTTAGGGTTGAGGGTTTAGGGTTTAAGGTTTAGGGCTCAGGGTTTAGGGTTTAGGGTTTAGCAAACAGATCCAAGAGCCTCACAGGCGTTGCCCAACCAAGTCCACCCTTTTGGTTTTGGGGTTAGGTTTGGGTTTAGGCTTTTTAGGGTTTTAGGGTTTTTGGGTTTTTAGGGGTTTTAGGGTTTTAAGGGTTTTTCGGGTTTTTAGGTTTTTTAGGGTTTTTGGGGTTCTTAGGGTTTTTAGGGTTTGGGGGGGTTGGGTTGCAAGGTTGGGGGTTAGCCCATAGCGCCTCCTCGCGGGCGTCCCAGTCCTCCACCTCTTGGCTCATGGTTGAGAGATAGCAACCCTAAACCCTAAACCCTAAACCCTAAACCCTAAACCCTAAACTCAAGAAGACTACTAAACAAGATCATGTGTAAAAGTTAGTAAGCAACTTGCCAAGCATGAGATGTGAGGCGTTACGACGGGCCGATCCTGGGGTCAGATATCTGCAAAAATTCGTGGTGGGTTAATGGCAACGGGAGTTGCGGGAATTGAAGCTCCAAAAACCTTTTTGGGGACGGGGTTGCTTCAGGGTGAAGTCCTCCCCCTAACCCTACGGTTACAAGCCCTGAACCCTAAACCCTAAACCCTTAACCCTACACCCTAAACCCTAAACCCTAATCCGAGGTACGAGACCTGACAAGGGGGGACAACCCCGTGTGGCCACAAGCATGTCGAGCCCGGGATCCCGGAAGCGGGCTCCCATACTCCCCCCCCTCCCCCCCCCCCACGCCCCCTTTTTCAGGGCTTAGGGTTGAGGGTTTGAGGTTTAGGGTTTAGGGTCTAGGGTTTAGGGTTTAGGGTTTAGGGTTTAGGGTTTAGGGTTTAGGGCGTAGGAAGGGTGCTGACAATGTTGCGAACGTTGAAGTTCTTAAGCCTGATACATCTCTGTTAACACAGCCATGATACACATGATGGATTTACGAGGGATTCAGTTGGTTACGAGACTAACGTTGACCTCTTAGACATTCTGAGCTGAAGATATCTATGAATGAAATTGAAACCATTATTAACGAAAACTCAAAAGCGTTAAAGGTGGCATAAATATTGGCACGTAAAAATGAATGAAGATAAATGAAGAACCAGACAACTCGTTCTGCCGCCCGTTACATTAATAAATTTTCGGTTTTACATATGTGGTTTAATTGTAGAGGGCAAGTGACTTGCCGACAGTGCGACACGCAAGAGTATGGCTGTTTTGAGTGCGACGGAAAGGA